CTCGCATTGTGCAATAATCCTAAGTGAAAATTTCGATGAAGTTCCCTCAACTGAAGGCCTCATTTCTTCAGGATATGCCAAAAATAAAGTTTTGCGGCAGTCATTAATAGACTGATGCAGCGATAACTTTCGTCCGACCTCATTTGAATATAGGAATAATTATTTCGCACTTTCATTCACCTTAGCGAAACTTTTTGAGGTGCACGTTTGATGAAATTGTGCACGGCAGTTTCTTACCATTCTGTTATTGCATATTTAATTAATTTTTCAGGAATTCGATCCGCCTTCCATGTTTTAATGGAGCAGCTCCGTATACCGCGGTCTGAATATCAAATGACAAGTTCCTTTTGCTAGCCATACCTGAATCATTGCCAAGTCCCAATGAATACGCCAATTTTAGCAAATGTGTTTCTGCAGCGTAACGAGTGATGTGTGATTCGAAACTACGACTTGTAATTCGATAAAATTCAAAGCAGTTAATGTTACTTCAACATTAACAAGTTTTGATTGGAGATATTCTAATTGTTACTGTTATTAATTTACCACTGCATATTGAATACGTGTGTGTCAGGCGACCACAAATCCAGGGCTACAATCGCAAAAAATTGCATCATATACTCTCCAATCACGCTTGATTTTAGTAATCCTTGGTTGAAGGCCCCATGCAAAGCCGACGGTAAAGGATTTATCGCCAATGCGTTTCGATACCACACCAGCAGCATCGTCAGTACATTACTCATTTTGCCCTGTCGTACGAGTATGTCATGCCTTCAACTGGACTTTTAGTACTAACGGTCGCTCTGACCATTTCTTCAGTGTTTGTGATTACAGTGTCATTGTTCATCAGACTGCCTTTCAAGCCACAAGCAGCCTTGACAACCTTGGTCACTACTGCTTTGCTAGCCGATCGTACGTTTTGGACAGTTTTAGCAGCTCTATCAACCCATGGGTATCTATGCATCTGTGCTTTCCTTTGTATGCAATTCCTTACCTTAATCATTACTTGCTCTACGCTATCGCAGCTACGAATCTCTGTAACGCCCTCTAACACCACGCATTGATTCTCCTCAGCAGAAGCTTCTTTCTACACGTGTCACTCATAATTTATCTTTCTTCCTCAGTACAGAGACATCGAAAGGGCTATTTCGAACAGTTTTATTTTGTAGTTTTCAAAAACATATGTAAGCATTTTCATTCTCCAATAGATTACCTCTCTCACCATTTGCATCCATTCATCCCCCTCCAAATTCAAGAGCACGCAACCATAGCTTCATTTTTATTTTCATCTTCCGTGTTCACTTCTCCTTTCGGATTACGGAAGCAGAAGGCGGTCAGACAGTGCTTCTAACGATTCCGATCCTGAGTCAGAGTCTGAACCTCGGCAGAAGACAATTAGAATCTGGGACAGACTCCTTCCACATATTTGCAGAGGTAAATCATCGGCGTCCTCTTGATCTGCTGCCGATCGGTTTGGCAAGAAACAGTCGCTTAACCTTCTTTCCTGGAGTCATTCGCAGCTCGTACCCAAACCATTGCAACGATGACTTGTTAATGTGAAAAAGCAGCGCTTATACTTCAAGATTCTAGCGGGTTTCTGTACTCCGGACCACGCTGAGACGAGTAAGGCCAGTGATACATCTGAGGAAGTTCATTGCACGTCCACGCTTGCACACGCGATCAAAGTTTCTCAGTAACAGTTTGCTACTCATGACTGCAGATAAGCATGAGGATGAAGAACGACTTGAACACCGAGAATCTAGTAGTCAGACTAAAAGTTCCTCAAGGTACTCTCTCTATCGCCAAATAATGTCATCATCCTTGGTAAGAAGGTGTCCAGATCTGTCCTTCAAGAATCTGAGACTGCCCTTCTTTTCACCTCAGAGCCGGTGGATGCGCTACCAGAATACTTTGTGGAAATTCGACTCCAACACCTCACCGAACTTCTCCCAGGAATTAACCTTGGCTTTTGTCACTGCCATAGCTGCCGCCTTGCGTGCCTCGACCATTATAGCACGCGTGTAGATGGCTCCTTGTTTCCATGCCATTTCTTGAACGCTGCTTTCTTCTCTTTAACTGCCAGTTATACCTTTCGTGTCCACCATGAAGATCTTTGCTGACCTCCAGGCGGCAGGTCAATCCGTTTATATCCGCAGCATTCAGCGACAGCCTCGAACAAAGCTGGTTTAAAGAGCTTCAACTCGATTTCCACATCAGCGGTCATCAGCGGGATCTGTTGCAATCGTCCTGCGATGTTGTTTGCAAATTTCGCTCTC